GCGAAAGGTCGACTCGGCCTCGACAATTGCGCCGTACAGCTGCTTCTGGAACGCATCGACGATCTCGCCATCGATGCGGAATTGCACGTGCAGCTAGTACAGACACCACAGCGTGGGCATATGGGCGGAGAGGCAATCAACTTCGTACATGGTTGGGCGAAAAGGTCACCGTCACGTCGTCCGGCTTGAGACCCTTTTGCATCAGCGAGAGCGTTACGTGCGTACCGCTTTGATACCATTCGTGGCTGTGGCACAGGTGAGATGTCGGGAAATCAGTAGTACGATGTCTACCGAAGGGCGGGCTTGGACGGCGCGGCCACGGGCACGGGCTCTGGAGCCACGGCCTTTGGCTCCGGAAGATCTTCCTCGTCTAATGCCATATCCACCATGACATAGGATCGAGGCAGCGAGTGTAGTACCTTCGAGCTCGGCGTCGCATTTGCGCAGCCATGTCTTGAAACGCGCGAGCGCTTGGTCGTGGTTGCCAGCCTTGTCCTTGCCGATCGTAAAGGCAGCTTTGGCCTCGCGAAAGCGTTCAAGACCAAAGAGCGCGACGCCTTGGCGCTGGTAGGCCATGAGGAGCGACGGGTCCAGGGCCACGGCCGCGGACGCATCCCGGAGCGCAGGCTCCAGCTGGTTGAGCTTGAGGTAGGCAGCGGCGCGCTTGGAGAGAGCGTCGGCGCTTGCCGCGTCTTCCTTCAGCGCCGCCGTGTACGCTTGCACCGCGAGCTCATACTCTTCCTCGACGTAGTACGCATTGCCCGTGGCCGCAGCTGCCATCATGCCAATTTCGAAATTATCCATCGGACAGAGCAGGTGGCAATCCGGATACGCTCCGGACGAAAATTCCAGAAGTGCAATTTTGGAAGATCTTGAAAAGTATCAAGCAGCGGGTTGATAGTTATCGACAATTTACTCGTCGTCAAAGAGCGCGTCCTTGATCCGCTCGAGGAGAAGGTTCATCGCGTGCTCGAGCTTCTTGTAGACGCCGCGGCGCGGGCAACCGACTTGGTCAGCGAATCGGTTGAGTTTGCTACAACCGGCGATGAGCGACACCTCCATGGCTCCAAGCAGAACCTGTTTTGCATGGCCGGGAGGAGCTTGAGCCACGCGATAATGTCGTCGTACGAGTAGGCTTGGTCGAGAACCAGCTCCCGCGCCGCCTTGAAGTAGTGGTCCATGAGCTTGGGCACGATCACGTCGAGCTCGAGGCTGCTGTCCGCGTCGTCTTCGTCGTCGTCTTTGCCGCGCTGCGCAGCTCGAATAAGACTAAGCACTTAGGCGCGCACGTGTAGTACCGCGGTGAACGGGCTGGCCGCGCCAAACTCGCACCGACACTCGCGCAAAAAACTGTGTTCGAGCAACTGCTTCACACTCCACCGGTCGTTCTGGTCCTTGGCCAAGCACTAGAGAAAGGTCCATTACATGCGACCGAAGCTTCAATGCACCTTGTCCAGAAAATCACGAAAGTCCCCCGAGAAGCCGCTGCTACTGGGCAGCTTGGGCGGCTACAAGGCGACATGAGATGTGCGACGATAAGCTTCGCACCGGCTCGTTACGGATGCTGTGGAGGAGCTCCCAGTACCCGCCTTTGGTCGCATACGGGTAGTGTCCGAGCGCACACGTCATGATGGAGAGCCCAAAGGACCACACGTCCGACTTGTACGAGTACGCCTGCGGTAACATCAGCGCCCATCCTCCATCTCTCGAGACGTGCTTCGCTCGCAATGCGCTCGGGGGACATGTACGTCAGCGTGCCCACAAATGTTGTGGCTTTCGCCACCGAGTTTTCCATTTCTTTGGCAATGCCAAAGTCCGACACCTACCCCTTAATCATCCCGCAAACATATATTAAAATAGCTCGTACCTTGACGTCGCCAAAGTGGTTGATGAGGAGGTTGCTGGGCTTGATGTCGCGATGCAGTTGGTGGTGCTCGTGGAGGAAGCGGAGGCCTTTCAAGACGCGAAACGCTATGTTGGCAAGGACGCTCTCGGACGTGCAACCGCCCGTGTCGACAATGTCCTGGAGACTCCCGCCGTCCATGTACTCGACGACGATCGACACGTTGCCTTCGTTTGGGTTCATAAAGGCGTCGTAGAGGCACACGATCTCGGGGCACGCGACCTTGCGCTCGTCTACGAGTCGATTGGCATGCTTCTAGTCTAGCGATTGCAGACCGGTGAGCGACGACATGTTGTTGTAGAGCGTCTTGACTTCTGCGATGAGCTGATGGCGCTTTTCATTCTCAAAGACTGGAATGACTTTGACCGCGACGAGCAAGAGCGATGGAACGTGCAGCGCCTTGTGGACGACGCCGCTCGCGCCTGCGAAGGGTGATGCTTGGTAGGATGCTTTGTCGTCTACCTTTGCCGAGCACGCCGAGTTTGATGAGCTGCTTCTTCATGTTGCTGCGAGGCGACGACGGACCGCTGCTGGGCGTCGGCGACAAGTGGTGCGCGATCCCTGTCTGCTTGATCTGGAAATCCACCACGTCAAACGTCCCCGACGCCGAGAGGTCGTAAGACTTCTCCAGACTCGGCTCGTCGAGCTCCAACTCGAGCTCCAAGTTGAGGCCGAACGCGTCGCGCTTCTTGGATTTCGCCGCCTTGACGTCGTCAGCGTGTCCGCGGACCGAGTCGGCGATGTCCAACTGCAGCACCCGCTGCTTGGGGGACACGTCCAGCTGTAAATTGAAGTTGGGCCGACACGCGCTATCCGCATTTTCGTAAGAAACCAACTCGCGCGTTGAGATACAGTACCCGACCGACCGCTTGGGTGGCGACTCGCAACGAGGTGCCGCCGGTTTCGCGTGCTTGGCATCGCTCTCGTCGTCGTCGTCGGCTTCCGTGTTGTGCGTGCGCGAGCGAAGCCGCCGGATCTCGGTCGCGAGGCTCTGCACACTCTTGACCCGATGCGGCGCCGGCTCGGTCTACGCGCGGTATCGAGACGAACGACCTCCATGGCGGTGAACCTGCTTGGCGTCGCAAAACGAGCTGGTGGCTTTGGCCTTTAACTTTTCGGGCTTGGGCACTAGAGACGACATGGGCGTGCGTCGGAAAGATCGTAGCTGATCGTACGGTGCGTCGTCTTGGACTCGCCTTTTCCTGGCGCAAAGACGCGGCTGTTTGGGTCAATCTACATGACCAGTATGAGGATAAGATGGTCGTCGTCGATGGCTTTGTGGAAGCAACGCACGGGGCCGCCATGGAGTGCGTGGTACTTCTCGGGCGGCGGCGGCAGCTTCTTGGAGGGCGAGCCCGTCGGCGACTGGGGCCGCGTTTGCACCTGCGGGAATGCCGGCGAGTTGAAGCAAGGCTTGGGCTTGGGCATCGCAAGCATGGGCGGGAGGTTCCTCGGCGGGCTGCCCTCACGCGGCGACGACGGGCTCGGGAGCTTGCCAAAGTCCGCCTCCGTGTGACGGTGCTTTGGCGAGCTACGACCACATCATAGAGCAGGAGCGCCACCTATCTTCGTACGTCTTTTTTTCGCTGCTCATGCGCGCGAGCGGCGCAGCAGGCTCGAGGAACTAGGCGGCCGATGACGCAGGACGGCAAGGATCGATCCGCGTACCTTGGCCGTGCGAAGAAGCTTCTTCGCCTATTTGATAGATTCGATGAGCCGTCGTCGTCGGTCGAGTTCGCAACGCCTACATCGTGGGCCCCGTCGAGCTCGTCGTCCGAGTACACGCCCTTGGCACCGCTCATCACGACCGTTCAAGATCCAATCGTCTGATGACCACCACTCTTTCTTGTGGCGTAATGTAAAGTATCAAGTCGAGATATATCGTAGAAATATGCAACTATAGCATCGTGGGGTCGGTCATCGCGTCGACCATGGCGTGCATCTCGCGGACCTTGGTCGAGAGAAGGTCTTGGACGCGCTTGATATGGTCCAGCTGCACGATCGTCTCGGCCGCGTTAGCGTCGCCGAGCTTCGGGTCACTCATGCGCGGGTTGCGCCAATTGAGCCGGTACCCCGCCGCCTTGCGCGGGTTCATCGACGACTTGCGGCGCACCGCGCGCCCCGAACTGCCCTCCGAGTCGGGTCGTGACGGGGCAAAGGCGCCGCCGGGCTGCGTGATGCCGTTCGCGCGGGCTTTTGAGTAGTTGGCGAGCTTCTCCATCATTTTTGGAAAATGCACGAGCGCTACCTCCCGCATGTAATAAAAATTCACACTAAGATCGACTACCTTCGAGGAACCGGACGCGGGAGAGCATGCGCAGCTCGCAAAAGCAGAGCGTGCGCACAGTGGCCATGCGCTTGCAATCGCGGTTCAGAATCGCCATCTCACCTTCCAATTTTCTACATGGCATCGAGACTATGCGACATGTCGTACCAAAGTACTGGTTCTCGCCGAGGACCGTGATTTGCACGTTGTCTTTGAGGACCTCGACGGCGCCGCGGAAGACGAAGAACATTTCGTGGCCGAGCTCGCCCTCGACGCACACATCTTCGAACGGCGCAAAGCAGATCAGGCGCATGCTTAGCGCCAAGTCCATGATGAAATTCGGGTCGCTGCCCTTGAAAAACGGAAATTTCCACAGAAAATGGTCGTTGATCGCGAGCGCAATCTTGGAGCGCAGCATGGCCGAGAGCTCGTTTAGAAGCTCTTGCTCCTGCAGCATGTCGTTCTCTTTACTCTTGCGCGCGTTCTGGAAGAACTCGCGGATCTCGATCCGCAGCGGTCGCGGCAGGTCCCGCGCAGCCATATACTCGTTGATTTCGTCCTACCTCGCAGTGTGAAGGTATAGACATAGTTTCCATGTACTGGACCATCTTCTCGCGGAACGCCGTCTCGTGGGCCGTCAAGCTCGAGACAAGGGACACGATCTACCCACAAGACTGTGTGCACCAGACGGAGAGCGTAGCTACGGACGTTGGTGATCCCGTAGGCAAAGATGCCGGCGCCGGCAAACATGGCAAAGATCGTGAAGCAGCGTTCGTTGGGACTAATGCCCGAGACTAGAGAACCATCCTGGTCGATGACCCTCCCGATCGCCAGAGAGACGACTACCGTCGCCGTAGCCGACCGTTGCCCTACACGAAAAGGCCACGTCAATGGATGATGGACCCATAAGAAAGGAGATGGATCGCACAGTGTCATGACGGCCCAGTAGAGCGCGGCGACGTACTGGTCCCACATGGTTTCATGCAGCAAATTCTTTTCCTTGAGCCACGTGTTGATCGGCGGCATCTCAAACATCGAGTCTTGGTACGAGACCCAGAAAAAGAAGCAGCTAGCCTCCACTTGATGCCGTTGAGATGAAGAAAAAGACAGTGACGTACGCGAACCAATGCGAGATGAAGACGACCGTGAGGCAGTAGCGGAAGAGGCTGCTGATCGTCGACCGAATGAGGAGCGCGTGCTGGAGGCGGTTCAGAATGCGGAGCATGCGGAAGAGCCGGAGGAGTCGAATGAGGCGGAAGAGCTTGAGCGCGCGGCGGATCGTCGGGTCGGACCCGCTCACGACCGCCGTGAACGGAAACGTTGAGAGAAAGTCGACGAGGAACCAAGAGAGCACATAGCGCTTCGCAATCACTTGCAGCTGAAAGTGCACCTTGCCCTTGATGTCGACGCCCGTGACAAAGTTGGACAACTAGACAATCCTGTCTACGACCGTCAACTTCAAGAAGCGCGTCATACAATGTCCAAGCCAAAGATCGTGTCGATGACGTAGTTGACTTCCGAGTCGAACACGGAGCCCGAGCCGTCGGCTTGGAATGCGGCTTGAAACTACGAGTCGTTCAACATGGCGCAATGCACCGAGCCGAAACCACGCAATACCGGAATGATGATGGCGTTGTAAAAGATGAGGACGATGCACATGACGTCCCAGCGCAGGCGGACCTTGCCGTGGGGATGCGCGATGAACCAATGGTGCTTCGTCTCGGTCACGGTGCTGTGCCCGCCCATTTGACCGCCTCTCGCAAGGAGCTCTACGCCGCACCCGTCACGCTGTACGTCGCACTACCAGTTCGGATACCTTTGACAAACGACTTTTGCATGTCGTCGGTCGCGTGGTTCTTGAGCGCCTTCTCCAAATGCACGTGGTTCAGCATCTCTTCCTGCGGACTCATCGACACTTGGACGGGCGTCGCGGTCGTCGAGAGCGCGATCACGTCACGCCCAATGTTGGGCGCTGCCGACCGCAGCTCTTCCGTGATGTCGGTGGCAATCGCCTCGCCCTCTGGCGTCAACGCCACCGTCTTTCCCGCGGTAACGGGCGGCGCGCTGATGATACCGATGGCCCGCGAGCTCGTGTTGCCCATCTTGACGACCTGGATGTGGCTCAGCTTGCGCGGCTTGATCTCGACGCGCGGCGAGGCCTCGGCCACTTCGCCCGCGCTGTGGCGATGGTGGCGATGCAGGCGCGCGCTCCCGCCGCGCACAAGGGGTGTGCTTGCATTG